TTTTTTGTAACAGTGGAATATTGAAATCTGCCAATACATTGGGGGACAGGGAGATAGCTCAGTGGCATAAACGCCTGCCTGGCAAGTGCAAGGTCCTGAGTTCAATCCCTGGTACCACAAAAAAACCAACAACAAACAAACAAAACACCCCCCCAAACAATTAATGAAATCCTTCAATACAATTATATTAGTGCTTATTTGATTTTTCCTGCCCATTAACAGTTGTTTTATATATCTGGATGCTCTGTTATTTGTTTTATATATCTGGGTGCTCAATTATATTTGTAATTGTTATCTCTTCCTTTTGGATTGTTACCTTTACAAGGATGTAGTGCCCATCTTTACCCCTCTTTGTCAGTGTTGGCTTGAAATTCACTCTGCTTCAAAACAGAGTAGCTACTCCTGCTTTTTTCTAAGTTACTGTCACATGGAGTATTGTTTTTCGTCCTTTGAATTTTAGTCTATGAATTTCTGATTAAATTATATGTGTTTCTTGTTTGCAGCATATTACTGGCTTATGTTTTTTATATTATGTATTTGGTTCAGGGTCTCACTATGAAGATCGTACTATAGTGATTCTCCTGTTTTCAGCTTCTTTAGTGCTTGGATTATAGGTGTGTGCCACCATGCCCGATCTTGGTGGCAGTCTCACTGGGCTATGGGATGAGGCTGTTGGTACCAAAGACCCTGGTCCCTGCACTTGCCTGAGCAGGTGCTTAGGCTGCTGAGCTGTCTTGCCAGCCCTGGTTTATACTTCTTGATCTATTTTGCTAGTCTGTGTGTTTTGATAGGTGAATCAAGGCCATTGACATTGATGGTTACAACTGATACATATTGACTTACACTTTTAATGGTATTTTCCTGTTGTTAGCTTCCTCCTTTTTTATTTCCCTCCCTCTCTTTTGTTTTTGCCTTGCTTTGTGGATTCTTTCTATTGGGGTTAGTGGGGTTGTAGTCATTGTTTTCTCTTTCTAGAATGTCCTTCAAACAATTTGGAGTGCTGGTTTTGTGGTCATAAATTTCCTCAGCTGTTCTTTTTCATAGAATTATCTTATTTATCCATTGATTTTGAAAGATAGTTTTTCAGGGTACATCAATCTGGGTTGCAGGTTGTTTTCCTGTAGAGCTTAACATACCTTAAGCTCTCCTTGATTTGAGGGTTTGTGTTGAGAAATCAGCTGTGATTCTGATGTACTTTCCTTCATAGGTGATTTGTTTCATTTTCCTAATAGCTTTTAAGATTTTATTCTTGTGTCAAGTTTCTGGAATTTTGATTATGAATTATGATATGGTTGGCTATAGATTTTTTGCTTTTGTTGTGGCCAATTGCAGTTTTATATGCTTCACTTAACTGTATGTCGAATTGTTTTTCTCTACTGGGGAAGTTTTCTGCCATGAAGTCTGTGAATAGTTTTTTTTTTTAAATATCATTTGTGTTAACTCCTGCTTTTTTATGGATTCCAGTTAATCTTGTTATTCTTCTTTGCATTAACTAGCAGTTGTATTGATTTCTCATGGTCTCTTGTTATTTTATTTTTTTCTTTCATGTTTATTTATTTTTCTTTTTTTATTA